TTTTATGAATGGGTATAATAGTACTTTCAATGAAAAGTGCGAAAATGCAATTTATATTGTCTTGTGGTATCGGGTATCTTTATTGGAAAACATTTTTATTATTAATATTGACATACGATTATTGTTAATATATCAAGTTTAATCTATTAAAATGTAATTATCAACATTTTTACCGGTAGTTTAAAGCTTTTTAAGAATTTTGATACTCTATAAAGTGGATTGAAAATTATTTGTATTACAACATAATTGCGTAAATATTTTTCAAAATTATATTTTGTATTAAAAATTAAATATTTGCATATCACATTTATTTATACCCACATTAATATTTAATTTGATAGTTATTATACTTTTTAAAAATGTGACTATAAAGAGTAAATATTTATCAGAAATGACTATTATGATAAATTTAGTAATAGAATAGAATTCAGTTATTTATGAATAATATTAAATATTGCAGAATATAATTATAATAAATTAGAATTTAATATATTATATGAGCTAGGGACAACCATAGTAACGTTAGCTATTTTTATTAATACTTTAAAATCCAGTAATATTTTAACCTGATAAGTTATAATACTACTCGTTTACCTTAAACNTAATATTTTAACCTGATAAGTTATAATACTACTCGTTTACCTTAAACCTATGAATATTTGATGAATAATTGACTTTTGTATAAAATTAATAATTAGATATAATAAATATAAAATAGCTAACGTTAGTATGGTTGTCCCTAGCTCATATTATATTGTTGAATGACTTATATTTAATCAATTTGTTAATGATGCCAATATAGACTTAAATCAATAAATCAAATGTAATAACTCAGGAAGGGATTACCACTGACTTGAATATACTGGTCATACAGTATAACTAATGTTTGAAAATAATAATGCGGGTAATTTAGTTTTGAATAATTTAATTTAAGTAAAATTACATTTAATATTATATTAAATCAGTTTAAATATTTATATTAAACAAATAAAATTGAATGAATAAAATATTATATAACGAAGTATGCATGTTACTATTGAATTTATATTTGAAAATAATAGGCCTGGATTTTTAAAACAATAAAAATTTATACGATGTTTATAATAAGATATCTAAAAATATGTTATATAATCCTATAAAAAACCTATAAAATATAATATATTTGTGACATCTATAATAACGCTCTAAGGTTTATATAACAAAATCTGTGGCCCTTACATTAATAATAATAATAATGTTATTTTTTAGACAATGTTTTTTATATTTATCCCTTTTATATAAATTAAATGAATTAGAATTCGTTTAGCGTTAAAAGTTTGAAAATTGCAATTTGCTTAAAAATTAATTTCAGTCAAATAAATATGTTGTATTAATTCCCCATTTGTTATAACAAATGAATTGTCGATTATTGAATTTCTTATTTAGAAAATAAATAATAAATAAATAAATAATATTATAGGGGCATACAAAAAATGGTTATAATATGGTTTTAACAAAATACACATATAATCTAAATCTAAATTAAGTCATACGGTATGTGTTAGAAGAATACTACACTTACTTTAATGTCTGATCATAAAATGTTACTGTAATCCAAATTGTATGACAATATTGACAATAGTATACAGTATAGTTAATGGTAATTTATGTGGCTCAATTTAAATTTCATTAGCCTCAAATTAATTAGTCGATAATTATATTTTTATTCACATAAGGAATTAGGAATAATTCTGATAAGAAAGGATAATTTATACAGTAATACTGTGATAACACATTTATTAAACATTTTATGAGATTTAATAATAATGTTCAAGATTATTAAGTTGTCTCTGTTTACCTAAAATGATACAGTTATGCTGCAAAGCAATTCATTAATTTTATTTATGTTTAAAATAAATAATTTAGTTTACAACTACAATATCATATTACTTTATAAAATTCAAAATAAAATTTAGTTATTTTTAAATTGCAGTAATTATGTTCGCATCAGACATCACTTTAATTTATGTTATTCAATGAATTAATTTATTTCAATTACTTTCAGTAAATACAACGACTGGATATAATTGGATGTAATATTTTAGAGCAAAAAACTGAAAATGAATGCAATTTATGCTTGAGTTCAGAAATCTAAGAAGAAATCTGTGGGACTTGATATGACTTTAAAATAAAAAACATCTCAAATAAAGGCATATTTTGATGACATGTGTTTGACATTTTAGTATTGAAGAAATGTGTGTAATTAGAAAATTGAGATTCTCTATCATTGCTTATAAATAATTATGAAAGTGACATATTTATTAAAAAAGAATAAAGAATGAACTAGTTAACTAATATATGAAAATGGGTTCAATATCCCTAGACAATTTGTCATTAAATGATTTTAACGTAACAATCGACGGCTTAGAGAGCAATGAATTGAACGAAATTATCGCCGATTTCATCAAAAAGGATAACATATTTGACGCAAAAACTGAAATCTTATTAAAAGTGTTTTACACGATGTTCATAGTGTCCGGTATCCTAACAAACGCCGTCATAATAGCGGTCATATTAATCAACAAACGCCTCTTTACTTCAAACAACATATTACTAATCAATTTGTTTGTGTCGGACATACTATTGTGTATATTCTGTATGCCGTTTACGCTGATAGCCATAACCCACCGGAGTTGGCCTTTCGGTGCCGTATTGTGTAAACTCGTGCCATTCATTCAGGCCGTCACCACATTTGTGTCGGCCGTCACCATCTCGTCCATCGCTATCGACCGTATGCTTCAGATCACTGCCAATCAGTTCTCCGGTCAGTTCATCTATTTGACACAATTTATGATTATAATTACTGTAGTGTTTCCTCTCATATGATTTTGATATGATTTTCACAATACAGTATTAACAAATTATTTTCTACATATAAGTATCCAAAACCTCACTTAATTCCAAAATAGACTTAATAGTGGTATTCATAAACAAATTCAACCTGTACCTCGCATCTCAAGACCACTTATCTTATCACTTTTTATGAACTAAACTGAGCTATTGTTTAAAATGTGAGAGCTACCTAGCTAACTAGCAGTGTAATATTATGTCAGGTTTCTCATTGAAAGCTCTCATATTATGCCTGAAATATATCGTAAGCATTGAGAGGACAGACGCCAATAAAATTCTTATTTTGTTTGCTCTCATATACAGTAACTTATTTTGAATATGAAATATACTCATGTATAGTATAGTACAGTACAGAACAATACAGTATACGTATGCCATATTATATAAATATTATAATTCCCACAATGCAGCAAATTCATATTTATATCAAATACTAAATTGACTACAAAAGCACTTATAATGCACTAGAATACGTATTTGATTTAAAACTAAACAGAATTTTGATTCTACTTATTAAAATTATGTAAGTTTGTTGAGATAAATGTATAGCATGTTCAGTAAAAGTTGATTATACTAACGTGAAATCTTACTCTTTTGAAGTCTCATACATTTGATATTTACTTACGAGTTAGAAACAACCATTAAGTATAATGAGGCTCATTAAATAATCCTAGTTATATGACATAAAGCACAATTGGTTATGCCATATAACTCGTATTGTACTAAACTTAAATGATATTTAAAGATGCAGAATTAAGCTATGTCTTTACTGATAATTTTTAAGCATTTTAATACTAATCAATGGTAGTGTGAATGCGTCCTTAGGTGACAATAAGATATTATATTTTAGTGTTTAGGGCTAAAATTTAGACAAACCTTGTTGTTGAAAAGCTTTTCATAATCTGTCTATACAGTGTATTGTCATATTCTTTTGTATTATAATAGCGTTACACTCTTTTATATCACGAAATTCTTGTTTAAGGTATCCTATAGATCTGATAAAAAATCCTGTTTGTTCAATTTATTAAATTTGTTAAAAATATTTCTTGGAAATACATATCTATTATATCTATTTTTGATTGTTCAAAAAGGTATAGAGGTCTGATCAAGTCTACTGCAGTCAGTTAACTATTATATAACTAATTTTCATATAAATGCTCTTATATAACAGTATAAGATAACAGTATAAAACTAATTATTGTTTTTGTTTTATGAAAGGGTTAACTGTAAAATAGCTTCAATTAATAATGTATATAGAAATATGTATATACATGATTTTATAATTAGTATCTAAAAATAATTTTAATTTTTGGAAATAATTAACTACTTTAATTTTGAAAACTGAATCTGTGTGTTAAATGTCAGAAATCCTATAGAATATCGCAATAAACAAAGTGCATGTTTCACAACAAATTTCCAAATAATCAATTACAATATTATGACATTACGGAAAGGATACACTCTTAAATATTGCGATATATTATATTTGTTATTTACTACAACATGAATATAAAAGCCCATTAGTGTATATAGCATATCATATTGTATTGTACCTTATATTGAAATGATTTCGTGTAATTTGTAATTCAATTACAATTACAAATAAAACCGATGAAACAACAAGTGAAAGCCTAAAAACAAGTTAAAATGCAAAAACATAGGAATTCAATTTCCAATTCTGTAACACAAAACAATTAATTAGTATTTGCTTTTAAATTTTGTTTTCAACAGACGTTTTGTGCACTAATTATATTGTTTTCTATTTGAATACAAAAGGACCCATGGCACATACATCACCTAAACTAATTAAATACACTCTGAATACACTAATCATTTGGATTATATCGCTATTGTTATCGACACCCATATGTGTCTACCAGACTGTGGTTGGGTTTGGCATCAAAGAGCTGGTATTATATGACAAATGCGTGGAGAAGTGGCCCAACAATAATCGCGGCATTTATTCGTTTGTCATACTTTTTGCACAACTACTGATCCCCAGTTGTGTTATGTTGGCCTAGCTCCTGGTCACCGAAAGACCCTCGTAGACATACCGTCTGAACAGAAATACTTTAATAGCAAACAAATAGTGAGAACTAATTGCGAAGATAATGGACACGAGTTTCCATACTATGGACAACAGCGCGAGTGTAAGGCTGGCACCTGGACTGGTATACCAGCGCGATGTGGTCGGTATTTTAGAATTTTATTAAAATTTTGAAGCTTGTTCAAATATAATTATTTTGACCCAATAAAAGTTAAGTTTATGAAAAAATACGTTATTTTAGTCTTAAAGTTATTATTCTCAAAACTTGAATTAAATTAGTAACCAAGTTGATAAATGTAGTTTTAAACCCTGAGATTATATAAATTTAAAAAATATGGTATAATATCTTCATTTCCAAAAATACAATTAGAATTAATTCATAAAACATATCTAAAAATTGAAATAAAAACTACAGTTTTTAAAATAACGAATTAAAATATATGAGCTAGGGACAACCATAGTAACGTTAGCTATTTTATATTGATTATTTCTAATTATTAATTTTATACAAAAGTCAATTATTCATAAAATATTCATAGGTTTAAGGATTTGCTCATCATAATTAACTTATCAGGTTAAAATATTACTGGATTTTAAAGTATTAATAAAAATAGCTAACGTTACTATGGTTGTCCCTAGCTCATATATAATAATCCATAAATATAAGTTTTGTTAAAAATATATAAATATAATAACTTCAAAAATAAATTAATATAATAGTACCTAAAATTTAATATAATTTTCAGGTTATATATTATTGACCGAGGTGATTAAACTGGATATCTATGATTGCAATCCACTTAACCGGACGCACCTTATTTCCCAAAACATCACAATGGATAGCACCGGCACTCCCCTACACTCCAACTCATTTCATATGATACGTGTGGCAGAGGACACACATTTAGGCGCCGATAACCACTCGTGCTATACATGGCACCTACACCTCAATGAGTCAGTTAACGTGTGGTTTATATTAGTGGACATCTTCTATAAATTTTCCAACCACTCAATAATACCGGTGCTTCCAGTGATTACGCCCATTATTAATAAATATAGGCATTGCAAATTATTATATACCAGTCCCACAGGGCTATCCTATTATAATGATTCCTTAAATGGCTATTATTATGCCTGCGATCTAATCAGTGATATATCAATGAGCGATGATATGGTGGATATGATTAAAGTGGTCATTAATATACCGAATAGTTTAAAGGCAACTGTTTGGTTGGAAGGCCTATACCTTGGTGGTATTTATAAGCACCAAGGTAGTAATAATCATCGACCAGATTGTGGTGATATGCCGGTGGAGAAAATCGGTGTAAATATAACGGTTAATAGTCAGTCAAATGATGTGTCCTGTAATAACTCGTACGATATGTTTGATAAGTATGGCAATCGTAAGGTGACACCAGCTAGGTAATCTTACTTTATGTTTAGAATTAGTTTAAAAAATTATTCAATTGAATTAAATTACTAATAATAATTATATATAACAATATCAAATGAAATGAAATATTATTTATATTTTATAGGTTTGAATGCAATCGCAATGGTGTGTGGGTGGGCGAGTGGCCGGTATGCATACCTAAGCACTATTGTCGCGTACATGACATAACTGCCCAAATGGACAGTAGTGTTGAAATACAAGAGTTTGGAAATGTATATCACGTGAATGAAAGCCATTGGTTTGCTATTACAGGCAGTTGGGTGCTATACAAATGTAGACATGATCATTCATTACCAGTGGGCAGTGCAATAAGTAC